GTGGGGGTTGTTCCCTTAACTAAAGCTGGCCATACACTTGTAGATTTCTGAACGAAAGAACTTTCTTTACCGCCCGATAATGTCATCAAATGCAAAAATAGGAGAGAGCCCTCCGCACACCCCACAGCAGTCGCGGCCATTTAAAGGATGACGGTGCTCGAAGTGACTCGATTCACGGATGGCACCGTGCGTTTGTTTGTTTACTCGATAATGTCATCAGACACTTGACGAATCTCACACAAAATGCTGTTATATTTTAACATTCGACTGTGGAATGAATGGAGTTTCCCGAATGCAAACCACATTCACTGTTAGAATTTCGTTCATTCAAGAAAAATTTTCCATCCTGCTCCTTCAATTTTTCCCCCCACTACAGTCGAAATCGATTGCCAATTTGACCCCTATCAACTAAGAGAAAGTCGAAAGAAAGTCCTCACACATGATTGGGTATTCAAAGTAAACATAGGTTCACTTAATTTACTATTGTTCATTTTGCAAAGTGAACATACTCTTTGCTAAGGGAACATCCACTACCCATATAGTAAATCATCACCAAAATACTGAACACCAATCATCAGTTTGACAGAAAGGCAATTAGCATTCTTAGAGAGGTCAGAAGTTGCCGCCTACCTATTTCGCTTATGAAAGATTCCCCTTAAAAACAACAGAAAAAGTAAAGCATTTCATTAAAATATACAATCATTATTTTATATCAACAATATTAAAGTTTCCTTTCATGTCTGTAATAAAAATATCCCTTGTCTGACAAACTCTAATTAAACCTTTCTGTCTAAACTGTGAACACCGAAAAATAAAACATTTATTTCTATATATAAAAACACAGACTTCAAAAGCTATAGCAATACATATGACAAGCCAGTTTAATATGTCAAGTGCTCTTTTGACAGTAATTATCCAAAGCTTTGAGGCAGCCAACTAATTAAATTAATTCATTTGTGAATACAGAAGCATAAATATTTTTGAAAGTAAAATATACTTGAAATAAAACAATTATCTAGGTGCAATTTCATTGTAGTTCTACGCACTAAGCATGTTTAAACAGAATGAAAAAACGACTATAAAAGAAGATTTGCTGGTCTTTGTGTGTTTTAAACATCAGACATTCTGTGATTAATTTTGGAGCTCTTATTCTATCATTCTGCATACTGTTAAAACAAAATTGTAGGCTTTTTGAATTATTTATCAACCAGCTTGCCATCTGCAGTGCCTCTATACTGACAAGATGATTGTGTAGTGCAGAGCAACTTCATTAGTACACCTCCAAACATTGGTAGGATGTTTTAAAACTGATATCTCTAGTAATTTAGATAGTACGATACTATTGTCGTACTTAAATAAACGCCAGTACCCAACCAAGAAAAATATTGGAATTTCAGTTAGCTTAACAGATGTTGATGAGGCCAAGTCAAGAGTACATTGCTTATAAAACACCAAGCTGAGACACCTGAAGAATACAATATACCAAAGGTCTATTAATCATTTGTACCAGTATGCACCATTGCCACTGTTCTAGTAGAAGAAGGAGCAGAAACAAAGTAGAGCCTGTTCATAAACTCTTATAACAACTAGGAATGAACCACATTTCTCAAAAAGCTTTCAGTTTAAGTAAATATTTATAGTCAAAAGTAGACTGATATGCTTGAAGCAACTCAAAGAAGTTCACAACACTACATTTATCTATCAATAAAAACACAATTTCGGTCCTAGCACTGTACATTATTATTAAGGTAGAGATTGTTATTTCTTTATACAACTGTTTGCAGCCGAGTGTGCTAGTATTCATTAATATTAATTGTCAGTGCAACATTTTTTTTTAACATTTTTTGCACAGAGTGGGGAAGGATTAAAGAAGAACTGGATTTGTATAGCTATCTGGGGCACCATTAGAGAGATTTTACTTTACTTGCTGTGCCATTCACTATGGTTTTACCAGAAAAGAAGTGAGCAAAAATCTCCAACAGCTACACAGACTGAAATAAAAATGATTTTTTAGTAGTGTACAGAAAGACAAGAACTCCCACCAGCTCTTTATCTTTTATGCTTGCCACCTTGACAAAAGAAATTTGTTTGAAGTTAACATGCTTCTTCATGGGAACATTGATTTGGGCATTCATCTCATTTTTAACCTCTCTCTACAGCAGGCCTAATACTGTTCTATGTTTTTATGTTCAACCTGTGGGCTGAACGAAAAAAAATGACACAGATTCCTCCATCAACACTTACAAGCGCTGATCGAGGAATCCCCCACTCTTTCCTTTGTATTCTGACAGTGGCCGACGGCCACTGTCAGAATACTCGAACAGAGGTGGCAGCTCATTGACTTGATCGAGGGATGTTGACCGAGGGATATTGACTTGATCGCACATCGAGGGATGTCAACCGAAAGGGTGCTGACAGTGGCACCACTTTGTGCATTGTGTCCAGTTCCTGAAGAACTGGCTGAAATTTGCATAATGTATGGCCATCTTAACCCCAATTGTTTTTGAAAATGGAGGTATGTGCGTGGGCCACATTTATTCTTTCTGTATCTTTTTTTCATATTTGTTCCCCCGTTTCAGATTTTTTTCCCCCACTTCCTGTCTGGTCACTGTAACTGAGGGGAAATTTGTCTAACAAAGTCCCAGATAGCAGGAAAACTTCAACAAAGACTCTTTATTTTTACTGACTTTTATGCAAAACAAAAGAAAAAAATGATTTAACATGGACTTACACATTAAGTGTTTAAATATTTTTTTTCCTCACTGGCACGTTAATAAATAAAACTAGTGGGAACGCATATAATATTTTTACCCCTAAAACGATGATGCTATTTTCTGGAAACAAATACATATTAATGGATTAACAGATTAATGTTGGTAGAGATGTCAATACAAGGCATAATTACAGTTGTTTTGAATTATGCAAACTGATTTTTCTAGAATCCAAAACTAATATAAAGTATTAGAGATTTTTATACAAAATGTTTTGGGGCTGATTTATGAACTATGGAGCAAAACTGAAGCTATTATTTATTTCTGCTCCAAATTTTGTGATTCAATTCCTATTTAGGCAACTTAAGAATAAATGCCTATTTTTTAGGTTTTCCCTTAAACATCCTAAATATATGAAGCAGATATTTGTTTAGGTAATAGTTATCTGTTCTTTTGTACACCATGCCACAATTGTAATTGTAAGATTCTTTTTGTACAGTCTAGTAAATGGCAAACATATTGTCTTTTATATATTTACAGCACAGCACAAATGTACATATTTTACATAGAATCATTTCTCACGACAGACTTGCAGTGCAGGACATATAATATAAAAGAATAAAGTAAAATTGCAATAAAGTCTGCCTGGGAAAAAAAATGTCCCATGTTTTTTTCTTTAAAAAGCACAGAAAAATACCTGTTGATGAGAAAATACCTGTTGGTCAGAAATCCCAAGCAGTATTGTTCTCTTCTCCTGGGCTACAGATAATCTCCACCTCCTCCATTAAACACAGGGTGAGGTGTTCTGTAGTCCAGGAGATGAGAACAGGTCAAAGCTGACAGTGCTGCTTAGGATTCTAGTGCAGCAGAGTGCAAAAATGTAGCAGCTGATTGTATTTCTGGCAGATCAACATGTATTTTGCTGTACTAGAGTTTTTAAAACATGGAAAAGTATACATGATTTGCAGAGATGTACTGCATAAGTTTTTTTGTTTATTTAGGTTGCCCTGTCCTATACTTTAGGGTAATACCTACAAAGGCACCATATACAGGTGTTCCAGGTTACACCATTCATTTTTCATGGAACTATTGTGTTAGTCTAGTCTGTGTTTTTGTAGACTAAATTTATGAACCGAACACCTGTGTAATGTAGTCAACTTAAGAAAGTTTTTTAAGTGCTTATGGACAATTTTTATACCATCATGCACCCATTGTTTGACATTATTTTATGCATGAGGGCAAAACATATTCCTATAGACAAGAGATCAGTGCTAAAAATTAATGTTATGGCACCATGAGACAGGTGCTATACGCAGCTTTTTATTTGTTTTTGTTTTTATTTTTCCTGCAAATATAGGGACTCAATTAAAAGGTGTGTGTTCAAAGGGTAACTCCACTTTTTATTAAACATTTGATATCATATATTTCATTGCTACACGAGCCATGCTTATACGATTGACTGACTGACGCTTTTAGCTGGAAACCCTCCCAGTCAGTGTATGGTAAGTAGAAAGTGATGGGAATCCATGTGTCAGTTTTTACTGACAGGAGGAATATTGTTGCATTTTCCACGGAAAAGAAAAATGGAGGTTCACTTTTAAAACACCATTTAGCCTAGACAACATGTTCTTTTTTTGACCAACTGTATAAAGACATGTTCAATGATAACACAAGACTATTCCCAGCCTTTGAAAATACCCTCTATTAATACACATAGCTAAGTGCCTACGCTCTATTTTCACATGTATGATCACAAAAAATCAAATGTTGGTATAATAGCAAAGACCTGACAGCAGTCAGCTTTTTGACCAATTCAATGTATATCAGACATGTCAAACATAAATGAAACCGAGAAGAAAATAAAGCTGTGATATTACCAGCCCTCGTCCAATCAGAGAACCCCCTGTGTTTTCACAACAGAGGGAAAGTTGCTCAGCACAGCAGCAGTACAGGACCCGGAAGATCCTGTAGTAGCGTCGGCTACTACAGTGTTTTACAAGGTCCCTGTCTTTCTATTAGGTATAAAATATGTATATATTTATTATTACAGCTTACTATATTGTAAACCCCTAAAACAGGCATTAAAACATTACTTAGAGTTTCAAGCTACAAAAACGGCATAGTAAGCAGAGCCTCTCTTAACTGAAAAACGTCTGGGGCCTAGTTAAATTAAAATTCTTTGACCTTTGCAAGCTGCAATAAAGGAATAAGAAAGCCTAAAAATACCTACTTGACATGCCTGATATAGATTGCTAAAAATACATTTCTGATTTGTGGCTGATGTTGCCATTAAATACCCTCCTCCCGCCCCCCCCCCATATTCATTGGTTTCTGCACAATTTAGAGAAATCATTTACATGGTATTTGAACTATTGCAGAAACAAATCTACTTTTTAGTGTATTGGACTGTGCTATACGTCCTAACAGAGCTGCGGGTTAAGCTAGGAGATGTGGAACCTACTGATTGCATCAGCACAGGTTCTGCACTCAACATATGGGTTGTTGTAGCTGGGCCGGCCCGTACAGTTTTTTCTGTCACATATATATTTTGAGAGCTACCCATGTCGGGGCGAATACTTAAACCCCCTTGAACATTGGAGATTGGTTGTAATACCCTCTCAGTTGTTAATGGCTGTATTACTCTCTCAGTGACTACAACATTCTGGGAATCACTCATGTCCGGGAAAGTAAATGCTTTGGATTGTCTTGCGGTACCAGAATCTACAACACGTTCTGTCACCACAACATTGGATGAATCAGGTAGACTTTGCAAATTTGGTAATTCTATAAATTCATGAACACCAGATGTTGGACGGAGGACCCTCTCTGTTACAATGACATTGGAACTATTAGGGACATTAGTAAATACTGCACGTGGGGTGGAGGTAGAGCCAACCACCCTTTCTGTCACCAGATAACTAGCAGGCATACTTGGCTCCACAGAGCGTACAACTGATCTCATGGGGCTCCCAGTGGTTGTGTAGGTTTCAGTTACAAACACATTACCTGAATTGACTGGTTCAGGTACAGACATAGCTGGTTGGAAGTTAGTAGGTGGAAATGAGCTTTCAGTAACAAAGGCAGAACTGTTAACTGGTACAGACCGGTTACTATGAACATTCAAAGTAGGCTCATCTACTACAAAATCAGTTTCGATTATTGGAACACTGGGAAACGATCTGGGCTGATTACCCCCAGGCATATCAATCTCTGAACCAATACATATTTCTGCTAGTGTTTTAAATTTTGGTCCCAAGGTATCCAAGAAGGCATCATCCAAGTCATCCGCAATAAAACTGCAGCATCCCACAGATCCAGCTGGGCTTCCAACTCCTTCATTATCGTAGATCAGAAGACAGTCATTTGATGGACGGCCCTCATCCTCATTGGCAAAAGCTTCTGCTTTCTAAAATAATAACATTTGTACATGTGAATGCCAGTATTTGCATTATTGTTCTTTGTGACTTATTTATTAACTAAATAACATTTTTTTTTAAAAAGCATTTAAATATTTCCTGCCAGGATTAGAGTGCAGTTGGGAGGCATATCCTTAGGATTCTGTTTTATGTTCATGTAAGCAGCAAGATGATCCCTTAATGTGGAGCTGCTCAGCTACTGACAGAACCCATGTAACAAACACATTTTTATTATGGCTTGTTTTTATATACAGTTTTCATTTTATTAATTTACTCTTATTCAGATGATCTTTCCTCCAAAGAATACAAATGCTCACTCAAGTGTCTATGTTTTTGCACTGAGCAAATCTCTGGCACCAACCTAACCCTGCTCTAATCCTGATGGGAAAAATAACAAGTCAAAATATAAAATAGCTGAATGACATCCCCTCTACTGGCTACACTGGAAGTACCTACTGAAGTGTAAAGCTGCCCATAGACATGGTGGTCATTAACCAACTCGGACAGATAGTATGACGGTGATCTAATTCTATGGGTACCTTAAGATCCAAAGGTAATAACACCTAAATTGTTTGTTATGTGTAAGGCCAGACAGCTAGTTAAGATATCACTGGCATGAATAAAGGTCAATTAAACTATAAAGTGCTCATGCGATTGTTATTAGCTTAACTCCAATGCTCAACTTAAAAGCAAAAAATTAAAAATAAAATACAAATGAGATGTAAATTAAAGACATTTCTTGAATGGGCAAATTTACCTTTTTTAACAACAATCCTAACACCCACTGATACTCTGCTTCCTTGTGCCCCCCCTGCTGTTCTCTCCCTCTATCAGATCCAAACCCTGTGTAAGCTCCATGTTGGATAGTGTTAGAGATTACACACGGTAAATGTCTTTCTACTCTTGGGCCTGGCACCTGGATATTCAGCCCCAAGCACTGCACCCTGGGAGGATGCTCCTCCATACAAAAAAGCAGCAAGGGAGCACAAACAAGGTAGTAGTGGGTGAGGGTTTATTCTTTCAAGAGACTTAATCAGGGCAAAGTGATAGATTTCCTTTAGTAGTTTAGGAAAGTGACACTAATGTTTTTAAACACTTGTTACATTAGAATACATACAGTATGTACACTGATAGGCAGATTAGGCTTTGGCATTCACTGTATGTCTTTTAAATCATTTTAATTTATTCATTTATATGGTGCGGTGACATTCTGTAGTACTTTATAGCATACTTGTCCCAAGAGGAGATTAAAGTGATACTAAACTCAGCGGTTTAATCTTAAAAATGCTTTAACCGCTTGAAGACTGGGGTTCTCAACCCCATTCCTGTCCAGGCCATAACCGCAAAAACCACGACACCGAAAACTGGCTTTAAAGCTTTTACAGCTCATCAATTTAGTGTTATCAGTGATTGATGGGCCTAGAATGATTGCGCTCACTCCGACATTCGTGGTGATATGTAACATGTGCAGCACAATGGGCGCAATCGTCTTTTTCGCACGTAGGCGCACCTGACGCATGTTTGCATGTGTATGCGGGGGCGGGGGACGTTACATTATTTTGTGCTTTTTAAATATTTTTTTCCATGTGATTTTTAAAAAAAATGTATGCTTTCTTTCATTTTTTTTTAAACTTTTTTTTTTTACACTTAATTTAATTGCTATCACATAGGGGGATAAGATGTCCCCTATGTAATAGCAAATTTACGTGACAGGTCCTCTTTATGGAGACATCAGGGGTCTCCAAGACCCCTAACGTCACCTAGGGAGCGCCAGAGAAGCTGATAAAGCAGAGATCTGCTTCACCAGCTTCACCCCGACTCCTGCAGCCGGCAATGACAGCTGAATGCTGTCATTCCAATTGAGAGATGATTTGAGGATCTACAGCCGAGTGATACACAAATAAGATACATTTTTTGGTAATAGTTAGTTTTGAATGTATTTTTAAGATTTAACTCCTGACTGTAGTGTCACTTTAAAGCCTAATTTTACTTCCACAGATGTACAGACATATGTAGTAGATCTAATATGCATAGTACCCAGTTATCATAACACAAGGTTTCTAGGCTGTAGGTGGAAATTGGAGCACCTGAAGGAAACCCATACAAAATAAGGGGAGAATGCACAAACTCCATGCAGAACCCTGGTGGGATCTATTTTCAGGACCAAAAATGCAGCACGGTCAGCATACTAACTATGAAGCCACCATACTGTTTACTTTCTATATTTTTTTATCAAACATGTGTATGTTAGAAGCAAAACAATATAGATCTATTACTTACATCAGCAAAGTAGTTTTCCACATAAGCCATATTTAAGGTACCGCCTTCTTTATATGAGGGTGGCAGAGTTCCCATTACTGAATCATTAAATTCTCTATCTGTATATCTCATTGCCCCGTTTCCATAGGTGTTTGTCTCAAAGCCAGTAGTGGAAATAGCTCTTCCAGCACCACCTGCACCTCCTCTACCGCCTTCACCCATTGCACTGATTCCACCATCTACCGATCGGGTCAGCATTGCTTCTTCTCTTAGCGGACCTGCATAATTCATTGTGTGAACCTCTAAAAAACAACCAACAGAATTATGTAGTAAACTTTCCATTAGAAATGTTAGTAACAACAATAGCGAAAATATGTTAACCTCTCACAAATGTTCTTGTTATAAAATCATGCTGTAATCTAAAGTTTATATTTTTCCAAAGAAGCACAGTGTCATATTCATGTAGCATTTTAAGTCTGTTTCAATATCTACAAAGTTTTAGCTATATGATTTATTAGGGATAGATTGCTTGGACTCAAGTATAGAACTTTCAATAGACATGTGCGATTCGTTTTGTTACGAATCGAAATTCGTACAAATTTTCCTGAAATTCGTAAATCCGAAATCCGAATTGCAGTTTCCGAATTATATCCGAAATACGAAATTCCGTTAACGAATTTCGGATCTGAATTTCTTTGAAACGGGAACTAATATTACCCCTGTAAATGAGGTTGAACAACATGACAAGATTTTTTTTTATACGAAATACGGATCCGCTGCTGCTGAGGGTTGTATTACAATACAGGCAAAAAATACGAAATTCCGTTGACGGAATTTCGTTCCGTTACGAACATTCGTTATGATGAAGTTAAAAAGCAAAATACCTTTGTTAATATTGGAGTTGATGAGTTTTTTTTTAATCCGAAATTCGGATCTGAAATCCGTTAACGGAATTCGTATTTCGTTTGGTTGACCAATCAGAGGTTTTCTCTTCTGCTGCTGAGAGTTGCATTACAATACAGGCAGGAAATACGAAATTCCGTTGACAGCCAATATATGAAAGTTAGACTTGTGCGCCGTCAAAAAAAATTGTTTCGTTTCGGAATATCCGTTATTTCGTATTTCGTAATTCGTGTCCGAAACTCAATTCGGATTCGTACTAAATACGAATTTTCGTTAGTTTCGGCACATTTTCGTAACTTTACAAACATTCGTTATGATGAAGTCAAAAATCAAAATACCTTTGTTAATATATTGGAGTTGATGGTAGTTTTTTTTAAAATCCGAAATACGAAATTCAGATCCGAAATCCGTTAACGGAATTTTCGGATAAAAAAAACAACTACCATCGACTCCAATATTAACAAAGGTATTTTGCTTTTTAACTTCAATATAATGAATGTTCGTAACGGAACGAAAATCTGTTAACGGAATTTCGTATTTCCTGCCTGTATTGTAATGCAACTCTCAGCAGCAGAAGAGAAAACCTCTGATTGGTCAACCAAACGAAATATGAATTCCGTTAACGGATTTCGGATCCGAATTTCGGATAAAAAAAAAAACTCATCAACTCCAATATTAACAAAGGTATTTTGCTTTTTGACTTCATCATAACGAATGTTTGTAAAGTTACGAAAATGTGCCGAAACTAACGAAAATTCGTATTTAGTACGAATCCGAATTGAGTTTCGGACACGAATTACGAAATACGAAATAACGGATATTCCGAAACGAAACAAATTTTTTTGTCGGCGCACAAGTCTAACTTTCACATATTGGCTGTACCTTTCAAGACATTTAAAAATAACGTAATGGACTTACCTGAGCCCGCGCCAGGTGAACTTATAAGCATACTCGTCATATCCTGTAAAAGAAAAACCAACTTGTTTGAAACTTGTATTTGTTTCAATCTGCAGTGCAAATCAGGCACACACTAATTGTTTATTATTTTGTTCGCTGTTATGCTTTTCTAGTTAAAGCGACACTAAACTCTGGAGATAAATCTTAAACACACATTCAAGTACCTCAACTATTAACACAAATGTATCTTATTTGTGCATCACTCAGCTGTGGATCCTCAAATCATCTCTGAATTCATGCTGACATTGTCCTTCCATCTGGAAGGTGGCTACTTTTATTTCCCATGGTCCCTGTGTGTGTTGTAAAGAAGACACCACTCCAAGCTCTCTCCTGTGATGGACTACAATCTCAATACAAATGAGAAAACTTAACGGGAGATTGGAATCAATCACTGGGGTGAGCTTGGAGTGGTGGCTACTTTACAACACACACAGGGACCATAGGGAACAAAATTAGCCACCCTCTTAAAAGAAGGACAGTGCCAGCACAAATTCATAGATGATTTGAGGATCTACGGCCGAGTGATACACAAATAAGGTACATTTTTGTTAATCGTTAAGGTACTTTAATGCATTTTTAAGATTTAACTCTAGAGTTTTTATGACACTTTAAATGGTCACCGCTGACCATGTAAGGGCCGGTGTCGATGGGCTTTTGTTCCTTCTCTCCCCTTAGAAATCAATGGAAATGCAAAAGCAGCTCGAAATAGGTTGATAAAGCATTAACCAGTTGACATCCGCGGTGTTAAACCCCCTCCCCATCCAGGCCATTTTTCAGTATTCAGCGCTGCGGTACTTTAACTGACATTTATTCCGTCATGCAGCGCTGTACTGAACGCGCGATGCTGCAGATGCTGCAGTGCCGTCCGTCCGTTTTTTTACTACGGGCGGACGGCAAGAGGTTAAAGGAGGTCAAATGCAGGTTTAAAGGAGATCTGTGCTGAACTGTAGGTCCAATGCACCTTTCAATAGACTGGAAGCACATTGCATTTGGCCATCAATCTTATTTCTCAGGCGGTGGACCCTGGCTAAATACACTATTTAAATACAGATATACAGTATTTACTGTTTTACTTGCCAATAGATCTGAACATCTGTACAGCCAGTCTTGAGTATAACAAACCTCTGCCACACTGCATAGCCTGGTAGGTGACACTATTATTTCTTGGGTCAGTAATTCTGCTTCCTATATCCTCTGTCTCAAGGGCAGGGCATTTTTTTCTCTATCCCGGAGTTGGGCTTTAAGTGCACCAGTTTTTCTTGAGCATACTAATTCCTCTAGAAAACTAAGTATGCAAACCTAAGGAATACCAACTAAAGCCTAAATAAAAACTACACTTTTCCTTTATGGTTTATGCATCCCATTTTGGAAATTCTCTTCACATTAGTTCTATTTCAGTAATGTTTAAAGGTCTGTAATGAAAGAAATAAGAAGGCTACCATTGTTGACTTCTCAAAAAATGCTATTTGCCTGATTTTTGTGATCCAGTGACTTTACCACTGTCCGAGTCACTGACATGAAGCAAATATTTAGATCTGCAGTAACATTACTCACCTTACTCCAGGTCAGGGACTCAAACTACTGAGTCGAGAGTCAGCTAGGCAATATTCGAAGCTGCAATCCTGATTCTGGCTTCACTACCTAAAGAGTCACTGACAGCCCCAAAGCCTGCACATTTATAAACCAAGTGAGCAAAAACAGCATACACATTTCTCTCCTCTCAGATTCACAATATTAATGATGATATTTATAATAATAATAATACTAATAATAAAATAGGAGCTTACCACATCCTCGGGTTTTGCACCTTCTGTACCCCACTGATGACATGCACCTTCATAACCAGCAGCAACTGGAACAAATTTTTGCCCAGCTGCGGCTCCACATAAACACAGTGGTAGTAAAAGAAGAGCCACTAGTAAAAAAGAAGAGAATAAGCTGTAAATATTATTTGTGTGCACACATTTAGTCACATTCAACTGAACATAACACTTTTTTTTTCCCTCAGGAAAAAAAAAATCTTAAATTAAGCTTTGTATGTATAACATTCAGCGTTGCAGCCTTAAATGTTTCTTTTACTGCTTTTCATGCTGAATAAAATGTAGAGCTTCATGGCTCATGACAACAAAATATGATTTTGTTACTTTTGGGTCAACCTCTACTATCATTCATGTAATCCAAGGTATTTCTGATCATGCATCTGCCCAGTTCACAATATATGTCAAACTGGATTTTGCCCCTTACTTTCAGAAGTTGATTCTACATTATTAGATGTAAGTTGGTAAGACAAGGTTTGGGTAGCTTCCTAGAACACTAACAGTGCAACTACTGGCAGTATTTCAACCAATTGGGGTGGCCTGCCTCCGGATTGGGAGCCATTAACAAAAATAGAATGAAGATTGGGATTGTGCATCCTGTGGGAATTCTTTCTGTATCGTTGCCTGTGAAAAGTTAATATTTGCTGCAAAGGTATTTTAATATGTCATTAAGGGAGCACGCTAACTATTCCAGCCTCTGGTAGACTTGTGTTTATCATTTTATGTCATCACCCGTTGAGTAAACAGAGTTAACATTGACATTAATGGAAGGGTCCAAGTGTTTTAAAAAGTGTTCTAAAATTGTTAAATACCACCTCTACCATGTAGGTGTTTCATTCCCACTTGCAGCATTGATGGCCCTTGTGCAGAAGTACAGGTATACAGGGCTTTATTTGCATTAAGAAGTGCTGCCAACCCCTTTAAACTCTCTTTTTTCAGGAATATATAGGAGAATAAAAAAGCAGGATCCTGTGGCTCTAAAGATGAGTGATAGCCAATTGAGAAGCCAGGCAATGCCATTGACAAATGGAGAATGGTTGGCTATTAAAGTTGTTAAAGGACATCTGTTATCCTGGCAAAACTGCTAAACTGGACCTATAAACCAGAAAAGAGCTCAAAGCATATTGGCTGCATTGCATATTCAGTGCCGCAGCAGCCCCATATCTCAAGGTGCTATGATATGTAAATTAAAAATGCAGTTCGGAAAATCAAGGACTGTCCTTTTCTACATCTCCCTAACCAAAAGGCAAACTTTTTTTTTGTAGATATTTTTTTTCCAGGTTTTTTCAGGTATTAGGAAAACCCACGTTTTGAATTGTCCTGATCACCAATGTCACCAAGAATAAAACTGAAGGTTGAGTTGCCGCCTCAACAGGAATAGAGAAAAGATCTTTCAATGGGTATTCAAACATAATGAAAAATACATTTGGTATTTATTATACACTTTAAACATTCTGTAGCTTCTGCCAGCTTTCTACCACATACAGTTTGATTATTTTTCCTATATCAATTAACCAAATAATTATCATGAAAATGATCAAAACCATTCCAGTGCAAATAAACAAAGCACGTTCAATCACTTTTCTTTGCAGATTCGAACACTTATTCACCCAAAACTTAAAAAAAGCTCTAAAATTGGCAACTGTATGGCCACCATAACTAATATAGTCATTGTACAGCCTAAGAATGGTGTCAATGTCACTTATAAAGTCTCCCTAATTTAAGATAAACACATAACTGGGTAATGCAACTATGAGAAAATTATATTTTGATTATAACCTATAGTAGAGGTGGTAGAAACTCAAACCACAATATATCTGATGAAATCTCTGAGAGATATGAAACCAAGCTTTTTAATCCACCGGTGTCAACTTCAAACAGAAATATAATTTGCAGGTGGTGCAAACATTTCATTGAAATAAAGTGAAAAGTAATGTTACTTACACAAAAGCGCTAAAAATCCTAAAACCATGAGACCAATCGCAGCTGGGCCGAGAGAAGCACTTTTGCTTGCTGTTTTTGAAGCATCACAAGATCCAGAAGGAGTGCATTCACAGGCTGGTATAGTAACTTGGAATGGATTTGGACAGGATAAATTGTTACTGTCCGCAACATTGAATACCAAGCTATAATTACGAGGGCTCACTGATGGTCTTCCAACCAAGGTCACAGCTGTAGCTAAAATGTAAATGCATGAATAAATAAACAGACAAAAAAAATACAGTAGGCTTTTTACATTTTTAATAATATATTAATATGTTATTTTGTTAAATTACATGTAAACCCAGTCACTAAAATCTACTATAAGATTTACTGTCACTTTAATCAAAATAATCCCAGGTAATGTTAACATGAAGAATTGAACTGATGGTAATGTACATTGAAGATGAAGTCATCATACAACCAAGATGTAAGGTGAGCATGTGCTGTATTCAGGACTTACCATTAAGTGGTTCCAGGTACCAGTCAGCATCAGGTAACATAGTTATCATAAAGGGAGGATTACTTGGCTCTTGATATGCATTAATGATTGTTCTCTTGGAGTCCAGACATATTACACGGGGCTCTTTAGTAATCACGGGGCAGGATGCAGTTACAATTGGGTTTGGAGAACTAATATTTGCTATAACTGTGGCAGTTGCAGTTGTTCGAATAAGTCCATCTAAATAAATATATTAAACAATATGTTATAGCATGCCAATAAAACGTGCCAATAAATAATAATAATAATAATAGTTGTGATCATATTATTTTTCCTGCCTCTTAGCCTAAACAGAGGCTAAACAAGCTGAGTAGGTCATCCAGGATATTCCAATGCTCATCAAGGAAGTTAAATCCTAAATACACAGTTTAAATACATTATATTTGATAGATTGTGATTTTATATAACACCATGCCAGACAGCCCTGTCAGTTTAGGGACCTCTTATTTCCCCACTGCCCTAAGCAATTTAGTTTTGTCAGAGTCAGCCTACTGATTGGCCATTAAAGTGACACTAAACTCAGGAGTTAAATCTTACAAATGCATTCAAGAACCTCAACTATTAACAAAAAGTATCTTATTTGTGTATCACTCAGCTGTAGATCCTCAAATCATCTGTGAATTTGTGCTGACACTGTCCTTTCTGCTGGCTATTTTTGTTTCCCATGGTCCCTGTGTGTGTTGTAAAGTAGCCACAACTCCAAGCTTGCTCCCGTGATTTATTATTATTATTTTTTTAATTATGGGCATTTATATAGTGCAAACAATTGTATACAGTGCTTTACACAGAGCACATTCACATCAGTCAGTGATGGACTACAATCCCATGTTTAATTTACTAATTTGTATTGAGATTGTAGTCTATCATGGGAGCGAGCTTGGAGTGGTGGCTACTTTACAACACACACAGGGACCATGTGGAACAAAAGTAGTCACGCTCCAGGAGGAAGGACAGTGTCACCATGAATTCAGAGATGATTTGAGGATTTACAGCCGAGTGATATACAAATAGGATAAATTTTTGTTCATAGTTAAGGTACTTTAATGCATTCTTAAGGTTTAACTGCTGAGTTTAGTGTCACTTTAAAGATTTTCACCAAACTGATGAAGTCATCATACTGCTTTTTTCAACTCTACCATTCCATCTGGCTCTTCTGCAGTTCACAGTACTGTCCGTCTAACACTGATAACTTTCTGACAGGAGAAAGAGCAGATCATCTGTGTCTTCACTGTCCAATACACAGTGTTACATAGTTACATAGTTAGGTTGAAATAAGACACAAGTCCATCGAGTTCAACCTATAAAGATATGGAGGGGAAAAAAAAAGAAGAAAAGCCTAAACAGAACGCTATGTGTGGAGAAGGAACTTTATGGAAACTTAGTTTTGGATTAAATTTATTTTTTATTTTTATGCCACAGGGTCACATATGAGCAATGCAGACAAGGAAGAGAACACAGAGAGAGAAGTTACTCTTTGGACTTACTCTACTGTGTGTAACTTTGAGCTTTTGCTGTTGTGCTCTGTAAACAACATATCTTTTTTCAGGAAAGCAGGAAAGGCTAGCCCGTCAAACATTAAAATGAGCCTAGAGCTCCACTAGATAACTAGAAATTCAAACAGAAAATATTCATATGATATACTTTATATTTCCAGGCTAAAACAAAACCAGAAAGTGTTAGGCCAGAAACCCACTAACAATAATAATAATAATAGTAATTAAATCAAATATAATCTAAAAAGAGACACTACCAGATGGAGGTTCTGTACAACACAAGAGCATAATATGGAGGACAGTTTTTCTTTTTACCTTCAGTTTCAGCGTAGACTATACCATTGTATGATCCGTTGATAGTTTCTGGGCCATTCCCTCGTGTCATCTCATAAGTCATTTTGATTTCACCAGTTGTAGAGTCAATTACAAAATATTTGCTTGAAGTATTGTCCAACATATACCTATTAGCAGTTTAAAAAAACAGTGCAATAAGGTCCTGTTATTTTGTGGGTTTTTACACTCATTGCAAACTGAACTGGTGAATATGGTACATGCAGGCTGCCTACCAAGCTCATATAGATCATAAAATACAACTTATTTCTACATATTAAAGGAAAATATAGCAGCTTTGTCGGGGGTATTGTATAAAGTGTAAATTGCACTTCTCTCACTAATGCCCTTCTCAAAAAAATACCTGTCACTGGAGGGGTAAAACGACTGCAGATATGAAGTGTAGGCACCAAGAGCTGCTTACACGTACCTGCAGCAGCCTCCCAAACCTTCCTGGCAGGCTATTCTGACAGTCACAGCTTAAAACATTTCTGCTAATGTTGGTACTTTCCAGCCAAGGGAATATATCCTTCTATATTTAGTTATTCGCAATTCGGGAGGGAAGGAAAGGATGATATATTCCCACTTCTTAATGAACCACATAGGCACATTAGCTCTTTACATTGCTTTAGCAACTAGCAGTTCTAGCTCATCACTGGATGTAGCAGGACCATCTGGAAAGTACTTTGGAGGTATTGGAAGGTATTGGTTAGCAGTCTTGAGTTTTGGCCACTATCTTATTTTTATTTGTTGCATTACATTTTTACCACCTCATGTGGTTGCACAGTACAATCCCCTTTAGATTTACTAAAGCGTTGTAATATTAGGATCTACGTAACTCTCCAATCACTTTATATCCAGTCACACAGGCCCTTGCACTACATAGTTGTTGGTAGATCTAAGGGAGATCGTACGGTCAGATTGTAATATGTATGGTGAGCTCCAAACTGATAGCATCAAAATGTCTTTAGTTTAGCAGGAAAAAGGCAAACAATTGTAAAAATAGGCAAAGTAGGAATAAGAGTTATCAACGTATGGGTCTATTCGAAACTATGATACAATTCCACTGCTTTATACCTGACAGGGGACGTGCTGGATAGAACATGTTAGATAGGACCTAATCTGCCACTTTTCACTATGCTTGGTGTTAGAAGTTAGAGTAGGTGTAGCTTGATTACCCTACAATAATAGGCCCATACTGACATTATATTGCATTCAGACTTCTACTTGGTATGTGCTGTATGATTAGTAAACGAGAAGAATATAATATTACAAGTATGAATACATGGCATGGAAGCTATAAAACCATTTTGGAATTTTAGATAAAAGTCATGAATGCAACATCCTTGCAATCATCTGAATAACACTGAATTAAGCTACACAACTTACACAACATTTGTGGCAGCCTGTCCCGTTTCTTGATTTATAGCTGTAGCTTTTCCAATCACATAGTTCAGTAATTCGGCTGGGCTTAAATTGGGTGGGATGTTCAATTGAATAGTATTTGGAACAAATGCAGGTGGTTCTATCTGATTTTGTACTTGAACATTAATGTTAGTCATTTTTGCTTGATATTCAGACATCACGGAATAATGAAAAGCAGCTCTGTTGGTCACTATTATAGCGAGGTTGGCCATTTTCATTGATTCATAATCTAGTGACTATAAAAATAAGAGATAAGGCATATTTAGAAGGGAATAGAGAACATCAATCATAGTGTTATCTAAAAAAAACAAGTTTAGTACTATGTAGAAGTACTGTACATACCTTGACAACTCGCAATACTCCTTCATTTGTCTGATAATCTGTATCGATTACAAACCACCCTCCTTCATTGCCAGACACAATCTCAAACATTGCATTCCAGTTATCTGTGTACATCTCATCAGCATCAAAGACTTTCATCCTCAAGTCAGTTAAACCAACCATGTTCTCCATAATGTTTACTGAGTACTAGCGAGAAAGACATACACATGTTATTAAATGTTTCAGGTATTGGTTTTGCAGCGCAGTGCTAAATATGTGTATTGGGGCACCTGGCATACTTTTTCTAGCTCAGTGGCTCGCTAGAAATTGAGTTTAGGATCAGGATGACAGCTCTGGATCATGCACCTCCAAAAACAAGCAGCATTATCAGTTCACATCATTTTGTTGTAGAGTAACAAATCCTCCACTCTATATGGAGGGGCATAGCCCATACCCAGATTCCTTATAATAGCTAATATTAGCATAGCACAAACAACGGCTGTACCCTAACACACCACAACTAGCCATTCAGCTATTTTCTGCAAAATGCTTCTTATAGATTTACATTGATCCCTGTACACCATTACTATTTGCAAAAATGCGTTTTTACTTGTCAGAGGTTAAAACAGTTTTTATTTAATTGTTTATCTGTTAAGAGTACACTAAACATAACACCAGTATGTAAAAGCTAAGCATATTTCTCATGATAGAGACAAGTGGACAGAAAACACAACATGCAGCAGTTTTTGGAATTGAGTACCTTACCTAAACCTAACACACAACACATTGTTTAGTGAAAAACAATGTAAAATCTCCCATGTGAGCTCCTCTTAGTCGAAAGTACTGTATTAATAATACGAGTAGCAACTTCTGATCATTCACAGTTTTATTGAGGTATGGGCTAACATTTTTTGTCCAGCCCTGGAGAATGTATTATGTAAATCTACTTACCGAATCAAATTCAAGTTCAGGAAAGTTGTCGTTCACATCTAGGATTGTGATGTCAGAACCACACTGCCCAGAAAGTCCACCAGCAGCGCCATTCAAGTCTGAGCCACTAACCATAAGGCTGTAACTACTATATGCCTGGAACATAGAAGAACAGTGAAATAACATGAGCATCTTTAAAGTAAAGAAAATGAACGTCTTTTTAATGAACACGTATCTTTCCCAAGTATAATGTACTGAAAAAACGTTTAGGATATGCATACAGTTTAATTTTTATAATTAGCTGTAAATCGTTGAAATTTAATTTTTGATTTTCTTAAAAAAATATTTGAATTACTTTTACTAGTTGGCCACATTGTCATGATCACATTTATGTCAGCTGGCCATGCTGATAATGTGCTTTGGATGAGGCCAAGATGGGCTAGACTGCCTCAAGATTCTTTGAAATTAAGATTACTGCTAAACTGGGACACTGAACAGGTGTCTGAATTTGCATTCTGATACCTGATATGCTTCTGAAATATGAATTGCATTATAAGATAAGTACAATTGAAAGCCCAGACCTCTCAGCTGCACCTTAGTATTAGAGATGCTATAGACAAGTACAAAACTAAAACATGCTGTATATAGGTAATATACCTCTCTGTCGATAAAATTAGATATTGTGTAGACTTCACCAGAGTACTGATTTATAATGAACATTGGCGGATTCGAAGGATTCTGAGAGAGAATTTTATAAGCGATTTGAGAGTTTATAGTGTTTTGCTCATCTGCATCAAAGGCATTGATTACCATCACCAGTGTGTCTAAATTTGAGAGACAAAACAAAAAACAAATTAATAGATATATATAGATATACAGTATATACTGTGTGTGTATAGATATCTATATATATATATATTTGGGTGTAGGCTGTGGAAAGGCAACACAATATCACAATATATACAGTTTGCTTTTCATTTGAAATTTATAATCAGGATTATATTTATCATATATGTTACCTAGACATTCATGAAGATGATATCCCCTGATTTTGTCTTTTTGTTTTCTTTTCATGATAAATAGTCAGTTTTCTTCCCTTTAAAGAAAACCTGGTTCTTTTGAAAGGCCAATCCCCACTGATGTGTTCACCACACTACTCCATTTCTCTGTTGGAGTGCATGGGTGGCCAGTCTCAAGCACTGAACACTGTCACATGGGGCAGGGGAGATAGTTATTATCCCTGTAGTAAGCTTTAACATGAAGCTCACAGGGATTAGAATGGGTTCTGAAAAAAAAAAAACAGTGACAAGGGAGCACAGGGAAGGTAAGCATCAACTATTAAGATTCAATTTAACCACCTGAGTACCAATCTGTATATTCCCTTCATTACCAGGCCATTTTTCAGTTGTCATTGCTGTGAAAGTTTGACTGACACTTACTCGTCATGCAACACTGTAATTTTATTTTTTGCTCATTGTTTTTAGGCCAATAGAGCTTTCTTTTGGTGGTACTTTTTTTCCATAATGTTTTGTAAACAAAGAAAACAGTTAAAACAGCTTCAGTAGTGCACTAAATACAGCACCTCATGGGTCATGCACAAAGAGAGGTGGCAACGGGGTTAAAGTACAGGCCACATAGGGTATATATGAGGGGGTTAATGTGTAGATGTGTAGGATATGAGAGGTGAGGGATTAAAATATAGGTCACTAGAGACAGTGTTGAAATCAGATGTACAGGAAAGGAGGGGGAGGTGAAATCCAACAATCAAGCCCCCTCCTACCCTAAATCTGCTGCAGATGCTGATGAGGAACTAATGAATGACTAATTCATTCACTGGGTTCTTCTTCCTCCATTATAAGAAGAAGGGGAGGGCTCTCAGATGTAAACACTACACTTTTTACATTTGTGATCACTGTGATTGGTCATCACAGCAATCGCATGGTACATCCAAGAACAGCCATTAATAGGCGCAATGGCCACCTTAATGGCTGTTTCTACAAAGTCGTTTATAAATGTAATTCCATAAATAGATGCCTGACTCCCCCCAAGTTTTTACAATATGGTGGGTAGGGAGGTGGTTATACACTGAACAGCAGCTACAAGAATGAGAGTGGTGTGTGTTATGGTCCACAGAATACATTTTACGTTTGACAAACTTTGCTTAAAATGCATATATGTCAATCAAACATGTATGACTTACTTGCTTGGGATCTCTCTTCCACTGAACCAGCAAATACCATCTGGGAGAATATTGGTGCATTGTCATTAATATCTTGAATTTTGACAGTCAACTGTAGGGGTGATTCTACTTCTTGGCCACTTAAGGTCACAGCATGGGCTGTAATCTAGATAATCATCATGTATAAAATTAGCTAGCATTCCAAACACTTAAACCAAACACTTCTAAGTAATAAACCACAGAGAACTTTACCCAGCAGCACTTAAACATTTGCTGCATTATTGCCATCAATACCCCTTGACCACATTTAATAGTATGGACACATGGACACTGAGGGAAGTACTGAGATGTTGGTTTTGTACCTGTGAACTAAACTACAAGTTGTGAAGAAAAGCTATAGAGAGAAGATATGGAGACTGGCCTTGCAGAACAATGGCTTCAGTTCTTTGATGCATTGAATTGGGACAAGTATGCAGGAAACTATAAACAGCCAGGGAACTAGTATTCTTAGAAAGAGGTACATGTTTCTTTTAGTATTAACAGTAAGCAGCTACAGACCATGGGGCAAGGTTAGAACCACATCTCATCTCACCCTTAGAGGGCAGCACCTGAGGCAATTCTCATCATTTCCTATGGTAGAAATAATCTAGTTAAAGTGGAACTCCAGGATTTCTACATGTCTGATACAGTTGTTACTCCGGCCAATTGCCTTGCCAATCCAGAATCTAAAAGTTTGTAGTTAACCAAATAGCTTTGTTCACCCTTCATGGCTGGTGGGTAGTGCATAAAGCACAGTGGTCTGAGTGCTATCTGCAGCCGATGCCTGCTGTTTCAAAATAGTAAACCCAGCAGAAAGCAGAGAACAAGCTAAAAAAAAGGCCCTTTTTAATTTAGCAAAATCCAATGTATGAAATGCAAGTTTTAACCCGTGACTTTACGTTTTCAGGATTATGGACCCAAGAACTTCCTTGTGAGGGCATTTATCACTTCTCCCTAAGGGCAGCAGAGCCAAAGACCATTTGACATCTGACAAATTTTTATCCCTTTGTATTTCTGAACTTGCAAATTATGATTCGTGTCTGTTTCTTGATTGACAATGCTTTGAGAGACGCTTTTCTCTCCCCATCAGTGCTCTATTTTGACATAGCTGAGTAACAGCCACACTCCTCATCACATGTCTTCAAACAGACTTGTAGTGCAGAGCGGGGTGGCTGACCAGGTCTCAACTTTGGCTTCTATTAGACTGCACAGTCATTATTAGACACCGTACACAACTGTTGTAACAGGAATGACTGTGGAGATAAGACTACAAAAATGGAGGTTGTTAGTACGTCTCTTACTGCATATTGATTTCTGTATTTTCCTGTGGGCTTTAAATATAGGCAATTTAAATGTGTGTTGGCATTTATACACTTTTAATAGCAACAACTATAAGTTATTATTGTAAATGGCCCCTTATAGGTAGACTTGAGAGAAAGCCACTTAAAATCCTTGAATTCATTCAATCACATATTAAGCAACTAATTATCAGGGACTAACTCACCAAGGGTTACAACTGTGCCAGACACAGCCAATGCTGATTATTTGATTCAATTAATCAATTATTACTTCCAGCATACGCAGTGCAGAGCAGCACTTAAGGTGGAAGAAAAGTAAAAAATAATAAAAATGGCTGGGAGGTAGGGATTTTTGTCAGAAGGTATATGCAAACTCTATAACACCATAAACCATCAAAAAGAAACAGAGAATCTACATGGTATAGGTAGATATAGTATTCACTGATGGGTGTCTAATAAGCTTGAGAAAATGACTTGATTTTTTTTAATCTTTTCACTTGTATTCTCTCCCTGTCAGGATGTGTGTCAGGCTGTAAAGCTATCCTGTTCCCCACATCATCCCTGTGCTTATAGCAGATTCTCAAAATCCTCATATAACAAAGCTGCTGTCAGACCTTTTAGCAGTATTTGCTGCTTCCTCAACAGCAACATGAATATGACAATTTTACCCTTTGCCAGCAGCCCAGACAAAGGGGCAGCAATCAGCCCTGAGCTCAAGCAGGATACATAGTTACATAGTATTTGAGGTTGAATAAAGACATTAATCCATCAAGTCCAACACAGTTAACATCCAGAGAGGCCTTATAGCTCGATACTGTGTTACATTTCTGCCTTGACAGGAAGATAATACAACTGCACAACAGCATACACAGTTCTTCCAGTAAGATAAGCCTGAACTACTATAACTTGCTCCACTGCAGGGGTAGATTTTTTTATGTGGAGGTAGACTTTTACAGTGGAGATTTAGACTACATTCCAACTAACATGCATACATGCGTAACTATAAAGTTATGTGTCCTCATTTTCAGTACAGTTCAGGTGTGAAACAGAGCAGCTTAACTTACATATAATACAGGTGTTTGTTCACGATCGATAATGGCATTGGTCACATTCAAGTATCCTGTTTTAGGGTCCATAATAAACACATTGAAAGGTGGTTTATCCACACCTTGTCCTGTAATTCTATATATTATTTTTCCCTTCTTCACCTCCAAGTCAGAATGAACCTATTGAAAAGTTTGGATAATGTTAGGATAATATATTACAGCAGTCTTTATGATAGTACATCGTAATGTGACGATATTGTTTGGCATACATATATGCAATGACTATGACTATGCGAATATACGAAGCAAAACTGGAGAAGAGGAGGATCTGTAAATTCTTTACGAAATACCATTATATATTGTAAAACACTATATGATGAAAAAACCAAAGGGTGACAATTATTGGTTCTGTAAAATAATAAGCACAGAGATGTGACACCGAAGAAGAAGAGAAACTTGGTTATCCAGGCTTACAATATGAGCACCCTTTCAAACCTAAGTATGCAGTAGTGTGGGTGCTTATACAGTATGTCTTACTACATGCATTTAAATAAATACACTCAATCTCAAAGATTTCTCTTTCCCTAATCTTATTACCAGCCGTTTTAACCAGTTGAGTAGTAACCTGTACATACTCCTTCATTTTACGAGGCCTATGCTCAGTGGATGTGTTCACAAGCCATGATGTTTGATTTAACTACTTGTTGGCAGTTGTTTTTTCCTATCAGCTTCATGTCAGCACACTCATGGGTTAATCCTGCCCTTCTCCTACTAACAAGACCATAACTTATACATTTTGAGAGTCTCCCCATGCCCACCATTCCTCTTTCCATATATCAGATTTTGTGAGCAGTTTCCTTACCTTGCGGTGGTAAAGCCCTTTCATTTCCACCCTAAGGCCGCTTATATGGGGTGCAGTCCCTGCAGTGCCTTTCTAAATGAAGAGGTCATCTGGCAGTCCCGCTGCTGAACACAGGGCGAAGACATCACTTCCATAGGAGGAGCAGTGAAGACAACCAATGACAGCTAGGGGGCGGGTCTAGTATGACCACTCGTTTTAAAGTGCAGCTATGAAAGGCCCCAGGGCTTCGAGCTGACTCATCGCTTCATGTATGGTGAAAACTATTGACTATTGCTTTGGCCTACAAGGCCATGGGGTTGGCAGTGCCGGCACATTTTACTTGAAGTGTCTCGATGTCCTGGGCAGCGGTTAGTAGAAAGACACTGGAGACAATCTGCAAGGTGGCCACATGGCCCTCCATCGACTTTTATGTTGCACTATTATATAGAACCTGCTGCCTTGACCACTGTCGAGTTTGGGCGGAGAGTCATTTCTTCTGCATCTGTGTGTGAATAAAACTTTCAGCATTCCCTCACTGGTTCTGGTGAGTTATTTCCCATGACTGTGCTGCCAAGGAGCTGACAGGAAAACCGGAAAATTGTATTTCAAACTTACCTCAATTTTCCTTTTATATCTAGCTCCATGGCAGCACAGTTCTCCCACCCGCTTGGAGTCAGCTATTATGTAACGGCGGTCATGGGGAATCCCAAAATTTATGAGTTATGGTCCTGTTAGTAGACGGAAGGCAGGATTAACCCATGAGTGTACCAACTGGTGATGAAATCTTTCAGTAGGAAATAGATTTAATCCCTAGTGCCTAGTATATCCATAACCCAAGAGTAAATAAAGTTGTAGGCGTTGATCACAATGTATTTGATACCTTTGCTATAGGATTCCTGTATCTGTTATCTTGTTGTTCTATCACACTGAGTGGAGGTGCAACCCAAGTACGCTTTTGGCGTGTGCTATTACGGAGTTCTTGCCATGTGATGTTTCCATTTTGATCTTTTCCCTTATTAACCTGCAAAAAATGGAGAGAAGATGTTAGTTTAATTTACATAACTGGCAGAAGGGTAAATACTGTAGCCCGCACAGCTCCCGAAGTCGGCCGAGCGGCATTCACCTCCGACTGAGCGGAGGTGAAAGCCGAAGCTGGCCGAACGGCCGGTCATTGGCCGGCCAACAGCCGGCTACTGACTGCTGGGCGGAGCCAGCCGCCAACTCATTGCTGGCTCCAGCCACTTGCACAGACAGATCAGTGTCCCTGGTTACCAGGTAACCGGGGACGCTGATCTCCAAACAGCCAAATTCTCCCAGACGCTGCGGGAGTCTCCCGCTATTAGATAGCATCTCCCGGCAGCCCGGGAGGGAAACACTTTCTCCCTGGAAAATAATTTTACTCTGCTCGAGCAGAGTAAACCTTTCCCTGCTCTGTTGTCTTTTTTTAAATCTGACATCGGAGCCGTTGGCTGCCGTCAGAATAAAAAAATTAATTAAAAATTCAATTTGCAATAGACAATAACAAACTAGCTATTGCACCCGCCCACTGCTGCTGTCAATAAGCAGAGGGGACATGAAGTTCTCCATCAGGTCCTCTCTAGTGATTGACAGCAGCAGAGGGCAGGTGCAATAGCTAGTTTGCTATTGGCTTTTGCAAAGTGAAATAGCCAATAGGAATCTAGCAATGCATTCCTATGGTGTTTTTTTTTTTTTTATTCTGACGGCAGCAGAACTGCCCTATTAATAGAAAACAGTTGGGCGGAGCTAGCTGTCACTGCTAGCTCCGTCCAATCGTTTCCTATGTTATTTTTTCTACTTTTTTAACTGTTTTTCTATTCTGCTCGGTACCAGAGAGGTACCGAGCAAAATAGCCGAGCCGAATGCCGCTTTTCACTCACTGCTGTTCGGCATCTATGAGAATAGACCGAACAGCACCGAGTAGCCTGCCGCATGTTCAGCTTAGCCGATCCAGATGTTGGATCAGATGAGTCGACCTCCTTCTGCACTTCGGTTGGCCGAACATGCTGAGCATGTTTGGCCGACCCAAAGCCACATGCAGCAAGCTTATGTACGGCTGATTTCAGCCGATATAAGGCGGGAATCAGCCGTACAAGCCTGAAGTGAATAGCCGAACAGCGTTTGGCTCACTTCACTTCGGGGCGGTTGTTCACTCGGCTGCCTACGGCAGCTAAGTGAATAGACCCCTAAGTTATCCATTGTGTTTTGGGCTCTGTGATTTTATTTTATATGTTCCCATTTTTTATCATTATGTATAAGCTTTAAAACAGGTTAAAAGGCATACATTTCAGGTCATTACATGTGCCGTACAAAGACCAAAAGAGAAACTTGAATAGACCTCCATTACCTGCACATTCCAGTTACAGCTACACTGCAAAGAAATCTAGGAAGAAAACATAAACACTGGTTAATACATAGGTGGTACACTCATTTAAATATTTTTCAGTTGGCTTCAGTACTTTCTGTGTCTCTGACCAGGAAAAGAATCAGAAATTAGTCACATGTCCCTAAAATGCATCCCGTTTTCTGGGTCTGTGAATTAAATTAATAAAGGACAGAAATAATCTTAACTCTGGCAGTGGGGCTACCCCACACTGCAAGGGTTAAGTGGTCTTTTTCATCTAGGGACAAAAATAACAAAGGTTTACTTATCTAAATCTTGGAGCCAACTGTTAGACTGGTCCTTGCAGCCTTGCTTCCCTTCCGCTCCGGCGGTCTACAGTCCTGTGACTCACCACATCCAATACAGTGTATAGGACATGAGGACGCCGAGGGACATGCCATGGAGTGGAGGAGGATAGAGACTGCAGGGACTGGTCTAACAGCCAGTTCCAAGGTTTAGGTGAGTATATCTTTACACCCTAGATGAAAACGGGCACTAAGGGGCATATTTATATAGCAGTGATTGTGATATTCACTAAACATTAACTGCAGCTGAATCAATCACTGTCATTTCAAACACATCAAGGAAGTGAATGTTTGGTGAATGTCACATTTACTGCTTTCTAAATATGCCCCTAACATTTGCTGAATGCTTGACATTGACTAAATCCTTTTAGAAATCACTAATGACTTACATAAATGTGTACTTTGCAGGGGAATTTTCTTAGCTTAGTGAATGTGGTGAAATTTTACTTTGCAAAGAATACCCAATCATGTGCAAGGAAAAAAATGTATTTTTGCTTGCACATGATTGGACGATGGAAGTCAGCAGAGCTTTACCTTATTCACTAAACTAAGGGAAAATTCCATTGCAAAGTAAAAAAGCCTATTTGCCTTTATTAAATCAAACCATCTGAGTCATTAATTAATGGTGATCCTTGTGAACACAGGGCTTCTGGACACAGGTTTTCATATTCTTACAGAATACAGTAATTTGCTACATGCTGCAAACAATGAACATTAGAACTCTGCAGTATTATCAATTACACTTCCATTAGCAAAGCTACAGGAGTTAAAACTATGCATAAAAAGTTCAGAAAACCGCATGATATGGCAGCTGATGTTGATGTTGATGGTGAAGGTTGTCTCTGCTTGTAGCCCCTGCTCATCAGCTGCTGGCAATAGAGCAGTCACAATTCTTTACTGGACATATGCGTTTTGTTACAAATTGAAATTCGTACGCATTTTCAGAAATTCGTACATTTGAATACATTCGAATTTCCAAATGATAGAGATAACGAATCTGAACGTATGTCAATATTTGATAACGAAATTCGGATACATGCGAATTTCATTTGGAACAAAACACAAGAAGCGGGAGAGTTGCTATTTACCGCTCTCTGGCTTTTCTGACTTGTATCCAGAATGAAAACAAAGTAACACAATATTGTTACAAAATGTAAATAAAGAAAGAAGCTCAGAGATCTGTGTTATTCTGTAACAGCTTCTGCTTCTTTGCGGACACTTCGATTCCGAATGTAAAGAATCTAACAGCTCTCACAGAATACACAAAAGTGTTTAACTATTCATAGAAATAATAATAATAAAACATTATAAGTAATAGTTTTGTCTTAAAGGAGGCCCCATAGGCTGATATTTGTTTTACAATATTACAGGTTTTGGTTTCTGAGTGTTCCAATGGCTAGGCCCCAGTGCTGTCAAACGGGAGTACAAAGAAACTTGCTGAGCCCTGTGCACAGAGATTTTTGGGCACTCTGGCACAAAATTGGGTTGTGGGGAACGTAGGGAAAGTTTGCTTATGCTGTTTCTTATACAGCAAACTTGTAACTTTGTCTAGTATTAACAAAGTATGGGTTTGCTATAAGACTTCCTAAAAGGAGTCTGATTAACAAAAAACGAGAACACAGGAGAAAAATGTGGTGCTATTGCCCATAGTCATCAGTCAGGTTTTTCCATAAAGCAAAAAAATCACATTGAATAACTCATCACATTTATTTTAAATTGGTTCATGTCCCACTAAGGTGATCTTGCTCAGGTGTAAGTGGAGTGAACTCTGGGAAGTGTACTAGCTGGACATAGGCAGACCTGACCTGGGAAAAGCAATACACACCCTGTACCATGAATCATAGATGAGACGAGCAAGACAGCCGGAGGCATGTATCACACACCACCCATTATTAGCAGCGGTGTGTTTCTGAGTCAAGAAATTTAAGTGGCAGCCTGGCTGTGAGGTGAGGGTATGATAGAGGCAGAAACAGAAAAAACTAACACTTTAATCACATTTTGATCCACAATGAAGGAGCACACCTGGTGTAACACTGCAATACATGTTATACATCTATGTGTGTGCGTCTTATGTAAAACATGTGAATTCACAACAATTTGTCACTCATTAGCCAGTAGTAAAACTGTGCAAATGACACTAATGCCATAATGACAGAATAAGAAGTTAACAATCACACGAAACTCACTCACCAGGAAGAAACTGGGTGCTTTGATTAGTCTCATTATTTTTAGTTCTACAGTAAAGAATTTAATCATCAGAAGCCATCACAGAGGAGGAGTTACATGATTCCTGCTAATTTATCTACACAATTAGAGGAAATTGATTTGAAACAAGTGAATGACTTATTCCTAATCGTAAAACTGGTCATGCAGAGGCAAACCAATTTGGCAAACAGATTTGGTAATTCATATATTTTAAGTTCTGACCTATAATATCTGACCTATAATGGTGTTTTATGCATGGACAATACAACCTGAGTACAGATACATACATGTTCTGTATTGGTTGTTTGATTTCTGAGTGGCATCTGTTAAAGTGTCAGGGTGGCCAACGCATGTGCCAATTATCTGCAGAATAGATATAAAAACTACATTTGGCCAATAATCAGGTCATGTATGGGCAGCTCTTTAGATTGGATTCATGACAGGTGGAATCATACTGGTAATGGAGATATAAAATTATTATGTTATAACCTGTAAAGGATCGGGGTATTTTTCTACCAGATTGTATGGAGATAGGCAAGTACACAAGATGCCCAGTGTTTGAAATTTCAACCCGCTTCATGAGGCCAGTTATCAGGTAAAAACAACTGTAGTGTAACACTCCAATGACCAAGGCAAGAAAATTTAACTCTGAAAAAGGCAAATTTTGTCTAAATACAATAGGCAATTTTGATGTGCTTTGTGTATTTCTGCCAGATATGTGCAGTAATCCAGTCTGCCTCTGTGCAGGAGCTTCCTGTAACAAAGACCAGTCACTGTTGTCCTTCCTCTTGGTTACTTGGCAACTGGCCTTGCATCCTCCCCCTCTGTGGTTTTCAGCAGGCAGCCTGTGGTGGCAGGACTTTCTGGGTCCCACCATCAGCTCTGCTCTCTGTGGATTTAAAGTATCCATTAGGACTATTGAGGAATATATTTAAATTAATGTTTTTATGCCTGGAGTTCAGCATATCTATATATAACTGGGACCCACAGAAAAATTGTTATGAAGCCCTTTGACATCTTGATCTCAAAGGCAAAGGGAAAATTGAAACCGGTGTTGTAGAACAAATCAAGGTAAATATTTTTTTAACCAAACAGGCAAAAGGGCTGAACTATGCATTCACTTCAGACTATCTGAATATTTATTTAGATTTTTTTACATCTGCTCTTGTTCTTAAGCAATCGGACAGAACTGGTCACGGACACGGAGGCACGGGTTGTTATCTCCATGGAAGGCATATTAAGCTCTTGCTTTTTCTATCAACTTCTTATTCCTTAAGAGTTTCAATTGAATGGAGCCCATAATTGTTTTAGTGCTCCCCATTTGGAATCTGTCAGTTTCCAAAGGTGTAGGATCCATGGTTGTCATTCGTGTTCTTGTCTCACAACTTGGTGAGTCACTAAAATGGAGCAAGCATCTACTTAAAAAAGGCTGTAACAGTTGATATGCACATGTTTATCTGGGTCAGTAACTCACCAAGTAGTGAGGCGAGAAAAGGATGACCACCTTTAATTACAGTTTAGCAGTGACAGCAGCCATATTTCTATACTGACAGATTCTCCCCAGAGCCAGGCTCCGGCTTCATTATATCATTTTGTACTTGCATGGCTCATAAAATATTATTATTGCAACCTTTATCATGGTTAGATGGTTACATTTTGCAAGCTGAAGTAAAATAATCCACAAAACGGATTAAGTTGATTAAATAGATAATTCTAACAGTTGCTATATTAATCCCAAACTGACATGCGGTTGTTATTTCAGTTTTACATGGTCACTGGAAATTTGAAGCATAGTCTAACGTCATGTATCTCTCTGGGGTTCCAGTGACTGCAGATACTTATCAAGATCTCTTACCTATCATGATACTTATCATGGCCAATTTAATGCCAAATAATGGTGTGATGCCCCTTAGATATGTTTTGCATAATGTAGAATAATTAATGGAAAGTTGATCCTTATGAAAAAGTAAAACATAGTATTATATTAGAATTAGCAATTACTCTGCCTTCTTAACATCTGTGAATATAAAATTCTTCGGGCAGGGAGTGTATTGTTTTCAATGAGCCGACCAACTTATAAACTTGCATTGCAAAGCAGGAAACAAAACCTGCATGTGTAATTAGCCATATGTGTTACGACTACACCAAGTACATATATAAATGCAAACCATACACCTAAACACCTAAAAGGTAAAAAAGAGGCTCCTGAGCCCTGTATACATAATAAGCCAAATTTTAATCAGCATGTCTCATATGGCAGGCAATGCTGTTTGATTAATGGGACCATCCTGCAAACACATATCAACATTATTCCATTAGAAAATCCCTATTTGAATAGAAAAAAATGGCGTTCAGGAGGCATATCACTTTTCAGAGAGGCATTAAAGCCTGATGCCCTTGATCTATACAAGGCCTTAGGACTCGTTTCCTGATGGTGACATTAATGGACTATGCATGCATAATATGTGTTAAAAATGGCCACTAGTTAAA